AATTTTGATATGTTATATTCGGTTCGTTCTTTATTTTTGTAAGTAATGAACAAGCACTTAAAACTATCACTAACAAAACTAATATTTATAAACAAGAACTTATTACAGCTAGACTAAAAATCAAATGAATCGACGCCAAGCGGTGTAGCTTGCCTATATTACTTTGGTCTTTCGTCAGTCAACTGTTTCGAACGAGCAACAATGGGAACTAGCAAACACTTGCAAATAAAATAAAAGAAGGAGTCTTTAGAAGCTTCGCTTCTAAAGAAGAACAATTCGAGTTCGTCGCCAGTCTTTTGTTTATAAAAATTTGAAAATGTGAATATTGAGTACGGGATCATAACAATATATATATATATATATATATATATATATATATATATATATATATATATATATATATTTATATATTTATTAATTAAAAATAATAATAATAATTATAATTACAATCGGCCCTTTTTTCACATATTTATATATAAATAATGTACAATTTTATTATTATTATTATTATTATTATTATTATTTAAAAATGAGGCCCTTAATCGATAATTAATCAATCAATTTATTTATTTATATTATTGATTTGTAAATTTTTAATATATATATATAAAAAGCAATTATCAAATACCTGAAATTATTATTATTTTTTTCTTTTTTTTTAACCTTAAACCTTTTCCCTATTTCAAAATTTTTTTTATTGTGTTTTCCCACAATAATTATCATCATCATTATTAATATATATTTTTTTAATATATATATATATATATATATAAAGATCAAAATCATTCAGTATATATATAATAATAATAACTTTACCTGTTTTAATTCTATACAATGTTTTGTTTAAACAACAAAAAAAAAATAATAATAATAAAATAATAATATTAAAATAATAATAATAATAATAATAAAGATTTAAATTATTTATAAATATATATAAGTGGCATTGTTATGATAATATAATTAAAATAATTATTATTGTTGTGATGTTTGTTTATTATGTTTTTATGCTTTTGTGTTTGTTTGCATTCATTAACTGAGTATTGACTTTTTTTTTTTAATTGTAAAAAATTATTAACAAATTTTTTTTTTTTTTTTTCTCTAAAGGAGAGAGAGAGAGAGAGAGAGTAAAAGAAACAAACAAAGAGAGAGAGAGAGAGAGAGAGAGAGAAAGAGAGAGTAAAAACATAAAACAAAAAAAAAATTTAAAATAAAACAATACAAAAAAATGTGTGTGTGAGTGTGTAAGTGTGTATGTTTAAAAAAACAAAATGGCGCCCATGTTTAAATATAACGATTTCATACGAACAAAAAAATATAAAATTTTTTTCGAATTAACGATAAAACTTATAAAAAAATATATAATATTGTGATGATTTCGTTTAAATAAAACAAACGAACGAACAAACAAACAAACAAACAAACGAAACAAATGCAAAACGATTTACAAAACAAAAAAATAATTAAAATAATAATAATAATAATAATAATGACAATAAAACAATAAATTCGACGTATAATAAATAATAAAAATAAACAAAATTTTATATATATATAAATAATATTGATTTTGTTTCATATTACGATAATAAATATTATTATTATTATTATTTATTACAATTACATAATTTGTTCTTCGTTCTCTAATATATAAATTAATAATAAATAATAAATAATTTTACTGGTTTTGTTGCTACAATTAAACAAATTTTACAAAAACGGTTTTCTCGATATTTCCAAAATAATAATAATAATAAGTTTTTATTACCCATGTAATATATATAGTGCCTCACACGTTAACAAATTCGTATTATTGCCTTTCAAATAAAACTTTTTTTTTTTTTTTTTTGTTAAGTTGGCTACTTCTAATTTATTCGTTATTATTATTTAAAATATTTTTTCCTACGTGTAACGTATAAAAAAAAAACCTCATTAAAAAAAAAACTAAAAACCTGTGTGCGTGATTTTGTTTAAACAATCAATCAATCAATCAATCATTATTATTATAATTAAAAGTTTAAAAAATTAAACTTTTAATTTTGTTTTTTTTTTTTAATCAATTGAGCAATTCGAATTTTTATTTATTTAAAAAAAAAATTATTATTATTATTTTATTTATCACAGCGTTGGAGAAAAATAGTGAGAGAGAGATAGAGAGAGAGTAAGTTAAGCAAAAGGCCCCTTTTATGTTTTTTGTTATTTTTTTGTTAATTATATAAACAAAAACTAGTGTAAATCGTGCTAAAATCTTAATTTAAAGAATAATGAAAACAAAAAAAATATCAAATACCTTTTGTGTTTGTGTCGTGTTATATAATTTTTAAAGAAAAAAATCAAACAAAACCCAAATAATCGTTAATTTCGTTTACTATACTATTCGTCACTTCGGTTTACATAAAACTGTTTTTTCCCCACTCCTTGACGGGCGACTTTTGCAAGAATGCGACACATTTCGCTCCTTTTTTCCCCCCCCCACCCTCCCACATCCCCATTTCCAACGTTCGTGTTTTTTTTTTTTCGCGTGTATAACACAAAAGTTCGCGTTTTTCAAATTTAACGGTCGACGAATTCGAACGAATTTGTTTCAAAAAATACATTTTACATTAATATTATTGTAAAAAAAATAAGTGTAAAATTATTTTCGAAAATAATAATAATATTAATAATAATAGTGATAATAATAATAATAATAATAATAATAATAATAATAGTAATAATAGTAATAATGATAATAATAAAGTTGTCATTTTGACTTTTTTTTCCCCGTTAAAAACAGAAAAAAAAATTTGTTCGCGCTTTTTTTTGTATGACGTCACACACGTTTTCTTCTTCTTTTAAATATATATGTATATAAATACATACTTACATACACATACATAAATATATGTATTTTAATAAATATACATAATGCAAACACCCCTTACACATATTTATGTACGTACATACATACATAAATCTACATAATTTATGTAAAATATAAAAAATAATAAACGTTAACTGTGTATAATAATAATATTATTATACACGGTGATTTAAAATTTAGCATTGTAAAAATATTAATAATAATAATAATAATAATAATAATAATAATAATAATAATAATATTGCACTCGTTTCATTTAAAAATAGCATTCCATTTGTTTCTATCACCATCATCATCATTAATATTATTATTATTTTGTTGTTGTTATTATTATTATCATACAAATATAAATTATTTACATATATATGTAAAAAAAAAATTTCATTTTTACACAAAAAAAAAGGCACTTGCATGAAAAAAAAAATTCAAAAAAAAAAAAAAAAAAAAAACAAAATAAATAATGATGATGATGATGATAATAATAATAATAATAATAATGATTTAAGTTTTAATATATTCATATATATATTTACAAATCGAACAGGTGAACCTGAATGATTGCATTCATTTTAAGAAATGATTAAAAAAATAAAAAATAAAAAATAAAAAAATAAATTTAAAATTACATTATTATTATTATTATTATTATTACTACTACTACTACTATTATCATTATTATGAAATAGGTTGTTTTATTCATCATCATCATCATCATAATCATCATCATCATCATCATTATTATTATTATTATTATTACACTTAATTACAAGTGCGATGAGGTAAGTAAACACGAGACGAATAACGAATAAGAAAAAAATTGCATTCATATATATTTCACATACCCGCGAAATCCAAATCATTTTAATGATAATGATAATAATAATAATAATAATTTTATTTATGTAAAAGAGATATCGCGGAAAACGTGGAAAATCACGTGGTCGGATTTATCATTTTTTTTTTGTTTCCTTTTTAAAAATTTCATTCGTTTCACAAATGCACAATCCAAGTTTAAAAAAGAATTTTTGGCTTCATTCCCTCCTTCCACACACTTCCCCCCCTAAAAAAAAACCCCTTCCCCCCTCGTTCTTGTCACAATATAATCTCCAACTATAAAAATACGTTATATAAAAATATTTAAAAAAAATGACTGGGACGGATAATGATTACTTTTACTCTTTCATCCCTTACACCTTTCCCCCCTCTCCTCCCCTATCCCCCTCCCTTCATTTCTCCCCACGTGTTGTCTCAACGTAAAACTAGGCTCCATCGCTTGTATCGAACGTGTGTGCGTGAAAATTCGCGAGGAAAATTTTTTTTTTTTTTTTTTCAAATTTCCTTCCCCCCACGTTTTCTTTCATAGATTCCATTTAAAAAAAAGTAATAATAATAATAATAATAATAATATTATTATTATCATTATTATTAATAATATATTTATGAGTTTCATTGAATCACAGCAAAAAGCATTTTTTTTGTTATTGTTTCGTTCGGATAATCGTACCGTACAAAAAACCTGAAATTAATTTTTTGCTTTTTAAGGTTTCACCCTCAACGAATCAAAACCTTTGTTTACAACATTCATAATAATAATAATAATAATAATAATAATTTTTAAAAACTTTTTTTCGTTCAGATTTTCGTAATAATAGTGTAAGAGAGAGAACGCCGAACGTTCGCAAGAGTCGTAAAAAATTAAATTCGTCTCCTCCCCATCTGATTACGTCGAGAACAATCAGATGGGGGGGGGGGAGAAATGAACGTTTTCGATAAATTTTCACGTTCGAACTGTTTATGTTTATGCAAATCAATTTCCGAGAGAATTCGAAATAGGAAAAATATTGTCCAAATATTGTCCATGTGACCTAACCCGCACAACCCAATGGAGGTTATGTAATTTCTAACACGTGTAATTTTCGACACGTGTCAAATTCGAACGGCTACAACACACTCTAACACACGTGCAATAATCAATCAATTATTCTCTACGTATTCAAATCAATTCGACAATTCATTTTTTCCCCTCGTTGATTATTTTTTTTTTGACCCCCGCCCCCCATTCGCACCATAGGTACAAATTATGTACCTATTTGTACCTATTCTGACCTGTTCGACATGCCTACCCTACTACCTTAAAAAAAAAAAAAACCTTATTTTAAATATTTATATATATAAATAAATGAGCAAACAATACGACAATTTTTACTCTTTTTTAGCCTGAATTTTTTTTTTTTTTCGCACAAATAATAATAATAATAAATAATAAATAAATAAATAAAATCTCTCCGAAAAATTAATAATAATAATAATAATAATTTGTGTGATCTTTCATAAAGTGACGTACGTAACAAAAAAAAAAAAAAAAATTGACATTAAAACAAAAGACTAGTCTCGTATTCGTTTTTTTTTTTTAAAAATTAAATTGTGCTTAATAACCGCCATTTTCTTCGCCATTTTTTTTTTTTTTTTTTTAAAATTATCATCATTATTTACAATTACGTAATTTCTCGCTCGCTCACTCACACACACGCATACATACTCATTCCTTTTCTCTCTCTCTCTCTCTCTCTCTCTCTTCCCCTCCTCATCTCTCCCCATTATTATTATCATTATTATTTTTTTCGATAAATAAAATATGTATTATCATCATCATTATTAATTCAGGTTAAAAATAAATCAACGATAATGATTTTTTTTTTTTTGACTCTCTTCCCGATAATTACAAATTAACCTTTCTAAGGCTTTATAAACGAACGATACATACGTATATATACATACATACATACATACATACATAATACATAAACATACGTACATACATTAATACGTAAAACATTTCATTTAAATAATAATAATAATAATAATAATAATAATAAAACGACGAGTTAAAAAGTTCGACTATCATGCCTAAAACCTTTTTTTTTTTTTTTTCGTTAAAAATTATTATTATCGATCAATAATTTTTCCGCTAAAAAAAAATTTTTTTTTTTTTTTTAAAAATGGAATTCTCTCGCTTTCCTTTTTGTTTGTTTTTTTTTTTTTAAACAAACAAACAAACGGGGTACAAACAAATAAGTAAATTAATAATAATTTACTCTTACTCAATTTAATTAAATTCATACCGATGTTTCCGATCTTTGTTTCATCGGACTCAATTCCTCCGATTGTTCCGGAAGTTGATCGTCGACGAAATTTATACTTCCGGCTTTATACCAAACAACGATGTCGACGAAAAATGCACATAAAAGTATCGCTCCGGTCGTGCCTGAAAAAAAAAAAAAAAAAAAAAAAAATACGACGCAGACAATTAGTACAAATTACAAATTAGTACCCGGGGGTGGGAGGGGGAAACCCTAGTACTCTTTTCCCACACCACAATAAGAAAAAAGAAGAAGGTAGGGAGGAAATTTTCCGGAAATGACGTCATCATACACGCATGCAAAGCAAAAACAAATATCATATAACCACGTATTTTTTTTTTCTATTATTTACCGTGATAAAACGTTCTAAAAACGTTTGTGTCGTAGAGCCAACAAGCGCCCTGTGTGCCGCAGGCTTTGTCCCAAATAAGGCAGGCGTAGTCAACAACTGCCCCGTAGACAATGGGACACGGCACATTGCCTGCAATCAAATTCGTTTAAATTCGTTTATTCCGAGTCGACGAAACGCACACGCACACGCACACACACACACGCACGCACACGTCGATGCACACATCATAAAGTTTGTGTTTAACGCGTGATGGTGAGATTACGTACCGAACAATCCTATGGCAAATTGTATCAATCCCAATGCCATGGCTTTATCACGTGGGTCAACGCATCGCAATATAAGCAACATGCTACCCACTTCCGACGTTGAATGAATAAAAACAAACATCGAAAACAATAATATGTAGGGTACAAAATTTGAGCAGTCTAAATTACAGTAACCGATGCTTGCGGTCGATACCTGAATCAAAAATATTTCTTTTATTTAGGCATGAATACAGAGAAGAAAAATACCCATCAATCGGTATAAACTTACCGTGGTGTGAAGTGATGCCTGAGACGATGATAACGTCGTATTGTCTTTTTCGATACAAAGGCAATCGAAAAACTAAGTGGAAAAAAAAAAAAAAATAAAATAAAAATCAATTTCCGGTTTCTTTTACGTAAATTTTAAATCTCTCTCTCTCTCTCTGTCTGTCTCACTCACCTCGACAACCATTCCATCCACCAACGTTGCGTTTCTACATCCGGCGTGACAAGCGGAAAAATACGTTTTACCATCTATTCCGCATATGGGAGAAAATTTTTCTCTATCACAGTTGCATGTCGTGTTGCAGACGGGATGAAAATCGGGTTGACCCGCTCCTTGAAAATCCAAACCGGCAAAATCATCCATTGGACAACCGATCAACATTAATATTCCCATACCTACAAAAATTAAAAAAATGTGCATATTTTCCACCCCCGGAAACGATCCACTTCGACATTATTTAAACCACTTACCTATGGCGTATATAACCGCCGTGAACGCTATCCAAGCAGCGACGAATCTAGCATTGGGTTTATATCGTAATATGAAAACTCCGCTTATGATAATTCCTATTCCCATCACTAATATCCCTCCGACACCTGCGTCGAACAATTACAAATATTTAATTTTTATCTTTTTGTTATACGAATACAAAGAGTCAAAAAGAGAGGGGGAGGAGGAGGGGGCGTACCTGAAATCATATTGGCTGCATGAGCCGCTAATCTAAATTGAGACTCTAAATATTTCGGCAAAAATGTGTACAATCCAGCTATGGGAAGTATGTGCAAAACGCTGCTCGCCGTTCGAAACATTAAAATGTCGTTTTTCAAAAGTCGTTTCACAGCTTTTGGAAAATCTAAAAAAAAAAATCAAAAGAAAATTTATAATTACCACGCGTTTAATAATAATAATAATAATTAAATCCTCGCAAACGAAAACCCAACGCGTAATATATTTATTATTATTATTATTTTATTCGCGTCACAATTTCGAATTGATTTCCAATAAAAATATGAAACTGGGGGGGTGGTGGGAGGGGTGAAGGAGGGAGGGAGGGGAAAATCAATATCAATAATAAATTCGAAACGTTATCATCTATCAATCAATCACCTTTCAAACTTGGATTTTTATCATTTCTGACAAAAGCTCGAGGAGTGATTTTCCCTTTGAAACTTTTCAATCTTTTGGGAAATGAAAACATTGCCAATGATGATAAAGCCAACAGAGTGGCAACCAAAACCAAACCTGAAACAAACAAACAAACAAAAAAAAATAGTAATAATAATAATAATAATTTTATAATTAAAATGAACGGAAATTTAAAAAAAACGTTTTTTTTTTTTTTTTTTTTTTTTTGGGGGGGGGGGGAATTTAATTTAACTTCAATAATAAAAAAAAAAAAAAAAAAAAAAGAAATTATTAAGTAAAGAAAAAAGAAAAAAAAAAGAAAAGAATATTTCGAGGTCATAGAGTAACAACAACAAAATTAACAACAACAACAACCGCAAATTTAAAAGTTAGTTCGTTTTATTAAAAGAAGGCTGTGTGCTATGTATATCAATTATGCTAAAAACAATTATGTTGAATTTATATAAAACTCATCAAGCGATAATTTAAAAAACTGACGGAAAATTTTATTTTATTATTATTATTATTTACTGTTTTTTTTTTCGAATTTCGAAAATTTTCGTTTTAATTTTTTCTTTTTTTTTTTTTTTTTTTTAAATTTAAACCATGTAGTGGAGAGTGAGTTCGAAATCAAGAATCTTGGATCGTTTCCGGCAAAATACGCGTGACGAGATACAAAAAGTTTTTTTTTTTTTTTTTCTCATACGCTGATTGGCTCAAGTCGGAGAACGACGACGACAACAACAACAACCACAACAACAACAACAATTCGAAAAATGTTTTCCATCGGTTTTTGGATCGTTTTATCGATTTTTTTCCAGGTAATTCCGATTTTTTTTCTGTTTTTTTTTAAATTAATTATTATTATTTTTTTTAACGGTTTTTAATTCGATATTTGAAAAGGAGGAGTGGGGGGTGGAGAAAAGGGACGAAGGAGGGGGAAAAAGAAATTAATTTTCTAACATTTTCTTTTTTTTTTAAAAAAAAAAAAAAAAAAAAGGGCAAATAATTGAAAAATCCAACAAATTATTTTCTACTACTCCTCCCTCAATCAATCAATCAATCAATCAATCAATATTACAACGTGTAAATAGAATCACAAACGCAAAAAAAAAAAAAAAAAAATTTACAATCAAATACCACGTTAGAATTAAGACGGAAAAAACAAAACAAAACAAAACATCGAACGTGTTTTTTTTTCTTTTTTTTTTTTTAAATAGCAAACGCCATCGAAAAAAATTCAAAGATGAAATGTTAGTGTCGCGTCGTGGCAGCAGAATGATAAATAATTTAATTGTAAATTCGAAATATAACTCGAGGACTAAACTACTAAAACGACAATATAATATATATTTATAATTTTTATTATTATTATTATTATTATTATTATTATTATTATTATTATTATTATTATTAATACCGACTCGAATTCTTTTCGTTTTAAAAAAAAAAAAAAAATGTGCATTTTTTTCGAGGGGGGGGAAACGTGGGGAGGGGGCGGGAGCGAGGGGGATTAGGAAGGAATAACATTCGACGACCGACCGGTTCGTTAACTGACTCTAACAACGTTAACGCCCTACAAACCAAAATAATAATAATAATAATAATAATAATAATAATAATAATAATAATAATAATAATAATAATAATAATAATAATACAAGTTCAAAAATATAAATAATGAGCTTTGACACAAAAAAAAAGAGAAAAAAAAAATTTCATTAAATAAATTTTTCGTTGGCGAAACAAACCAAACAACCAATCGAGCAACCAACCAACCAACAAACAAACAAACATTATAACATTTGTTTAAATTTTTTTTCTTTTTTTTTTTTTTCTTCTGCTTCTTCTCACCGCTACGGGCTCCCAAGGTTTTCCCTCCAGGCTTTATTAGGGTATTTCAAGGTCTACTATTATTATTATTTAATCCACTACTTCTACTACTACGGTTTTTGCAGCCAACATCTTAAAAGACTCAAACAAACTCTCGTTTGTACGAACAACAACAAACAACGAGGAGAAGGAGAAGGAGAAGAAAAAAAATTTGCTTTTCTCTCTCTCTCTCTCTCTCTCTCGCTCTCTCTTCCTTTCAAAGCTTAATCTTTTAAATTTAAATTGACGCGATGCCATTTTTCTTATTCTCGATATTTATGTACGAAAAAAAAAAAAAAAAATTAATGTATTATTTCATATTCGAAACAATAATGATAATAATAATAATAATATAATAATAATGATAATAATAATAACTTTACTTATTTTTAAACTGACCTTCGTTTTTAATTGTGTAAAACAAAATCGACTTTTATAAATAAAAAAAAATTTAATGTATCGAACAAAAGAAAAAGAAAAAAAGTTTAATTAATACCGGTTTGAAAAAAAAAATTTAAAACCGGTAAAAACTTATATCGAACGACAAACGAAAACAATTAATAATAATAATAATAATAATAATAATAATAATAATAAATTTTACCTGTAAAAAATTTTTAATTGGTTTTTGCCCCTCAGAAAAAAAAAAAAAAATAATAATAATAAAAATAAAAATAATAAAATGAATGTGAAAACCTCATTATTTTCCGCGATGAAAATCCAAAAGTATCATTATTATTATTATTATTATTATTATTTATAAAAAAAAAATTACGCCGCGTTTAAAATTCGACGAGAGAGGAAGAGAGAGAGAAAGAGAGAGAGAGAGAGAGAGAGAGAGGAAAAGAGAGAGAGAGAGAGAGGAAAAGAGAGAGAGAGATAGAGAAAATCGTATGAGTTACTTGTATGAAAATCCCCGCTGAAATTATACAACACAAATTTTGTATCCAATTAAAAGTTTTATTCTAGAAATTTTCCAACGAGAGAGAGAGAGAGAGAGAGAGAAAGAGAGAGAGAGAGAAAACAAACAAAACATTATAAAATATATACATATATCTGCCTCCACGTTTTTTTTTCAGACGTTTTACAACTCGGCAAATGCTGTCGTCAACGTAACCGTTTTCTACGAAAGTCTTTGTCCCGACAGCATAAGGTTTATTAAAAAGCAACTTCATCCCACTTACTCGGAACTTAAGGATTACATGAACGTGGAACTAGTGCCGTTTGGAAAAGCTCGAGTAAGATAAATTTTTTAACGGTAAACGCTAAAAACCGGGAAAAACTTTTTCCGCAGGATTTCCCCCCCCCCCAAAAAAAAAAAAAAAAAAAACAAAAATTGAGAACAAAGGAAAAAAATGATGATAATAATAATAATAATAAAAACAAACAATGATAATATATAAATTATGATGATTTCGTAAAAAAAAAAAAAAAAAAAAAAAAAAAAATGTATTACATTTTTTTTTTTTCGCTACTTTCCGATATATGGGTCACACATTGATAAAGGAAAAGGGTCATTGAGCAACGAGGTCAAAAGTCAATCGTTAATTATCGCGAACGAATAATAAATAAACAAAATAAAATAAATTTTAAAAAAATGTGCGCGCGCACGTATAAATTTAAGAAAATTTTTTTTTTTTTTTTTTTTTTGTCGTTTCAGTACATGAACGATCCCTGGAGAATATCGTGTCAGCACGGACCCCGAGAATGTGCCGGAAATGCCGTACAGGCATGTGCTTTAACGAAATTTCCAGAAAATGAAATGCAAGTTAATTTCGTACACTGCGTCATGTCTCAAAGATATCCCCCGGGAGCCGGATCGTGGGTTTGTACAAACAAAAATTTTCCAACTTATTCGATTTGAATGATAATAATAATAATAAATTTGTTTTCATCAGTGTGCCAAAGAATTGAATTACGACTACAGAGGCGTTGATGAATGTTCGAAAAATGATGAGGGAAGACAACTTATCGCGAAATTCGGAGATCGAACTTTTGCCTACAAAAATATTTTGACCTTTGTGCCGACCATTTTATTAAACGACGTAAGAAAACTCGTTACTATATACCCGATAAGGAAAAAAAAAAACAAAACGATCATCGACATTTTAACCGTTAATATTTTTTTTCTAGGAATTTTCCGAAGAGTCACAAAGGGAAGCATTGACGAATTTGAAATTTGGAATTTGCAAAAGATTGGAAGAACCCGTTCCCGACAAATGTAAATAAACCTAAACGCCATTTTTTTTTTTTATAATTAAATGAATGGGAAAATGAGAAAAAATTTAATCAAATATCAAAGTCCGAATTGAAATTCGTACTATTTATAGTAATAAAAATTAATAAAATTTCAAGAGAGAGAGATAGAGAGAGAGAGAGAGATAGAAAACGATTTGTTTTTTTTTCCTTTTTTCCTTTTCTTTCCTTTGTATAATAAAATCCCGATGAAAACAATTTAGAATTTTGTATAACTCTCGACAGCGAGAGGAAGAGAGACAAATAGACAAAGATAAAAAAAACTTACCCAGCCACCAAGCTCCAACCCATCTGGGATCGTTTGGAGTTATTTGAGGATCCACGCTTAAATCCGCATAGAGTCTCGTACAAACAGATCCCAAAATGAATCCCATTGCCGGTCCGAGTATTCTAACCCCGATCGTTATTGCTGGAAAAAGAGAAAAAACCATTAGGTCCGCGAGTCGAAGATGAAATCTACTTTGACAAATGATACAGTGAGTGAGAGGCTAGAACGGGATAAAATCAAACAAACACAACCAAGTGAGAAAAAATAAACTATTAAGAAGTGGCAAAACTCTGAGGAAAGAGATCTGGGCAAAAACCACGAAAATGACATTAAAAAAAAATCAAATTATTTTCACCATTTTGAAAAATTTTTTTTAAAACCATGAATAATAATAATAATAATAATAATAATAATAGAGGCAAGCAATGCTTAAAGACATTGAAAATTCAAGGACGAAAACTGTCTGGTGTCAGGGTGCCGATGATGGAAATTTTTTTTTTTTACTTCTTTCAAGGATATTATTTAATTATCACGCGGCGGTTGTTGTTGTTGTTGTTGTTATTAACAATACAATACATTTTATTTATTCTTGTTTCTCCCCCCTCCCCCCCTCCCCCATTACATTTTTTAGCCTTTGAAAAAAAATCTGTCGCAAAATTGTTTGTTTGTAAAATAACCATTAAAAAATTAAGAATTTGAATTTTTAGTTTTTAAATAAAACCCATAATACATCTCCTCACTAATTGGATTAAATCATATTTAATACTAATTAAGCAAACTCAAACTAATTAGTTTCCTTTCTCCTCCTCCTACTCCTACTCCTCCTCCTTAGTTAAAAATATTTTTTTTTTTTTTTTTTGGTCAACCAAAAAGGAATTATCAACTCGATTATTCCGAATTTTGTTTTCTAATAATAATAATAATAATAATAAGAAACGTTACAATTTCAAAATTTTAACTTTATTACATTTCCCCCCTCCCACCCTCCCATTTACTCTCCTCAACCCTTATTGATGAATACAACAACAACAAAAAAAAGAAAACGATTATTTAAAAATTTATCAATTATTAAAAATTTCACAAAAGGCTCGCTCGCGAATTATTTATTACATTAAGGAAAAGGTAAACGGGGGGAGGGGAGGGGAGGGCATTGAACTTGAATAGAAACGGCCAACATCCTTACGACCTCGCAAACGCAATCAATCGATTGACAAAAAAAAAAAAAAAAAATTCACGTTCGGTCATCCAAATGGCAAATGAAATGTTAGCAAAACAATTCATTGCGACGTTGATTAAACCTTTTTTTTTTTTTGGGGGGGGGGGAATATTGCAATTTTTTAAAGAGAGAGAGAAAAACGGACCACTCACCGAAATATAACGGAGACTCCCTCGTGGCCACGTTATCATCAATGTAGGGTATGCCCAACGTGTAGACTGCCGTCTGACCCATTCCGACCCCTAATAAACTTATAAAGAATATCGAAAGAACGATTTGGGTTATTTTACTTTGTGCCCTTTGCTCCTGCAGGAAATCTTCTTCGCAATCGAACACGTTCGACGCTTCTTGTTTCAATGTAAAATATCCCGTGTAATTATTTTTAAATGTGGAATTTTGCATCAAGTCCAATATCGATGATGAAACGTTGTTGTACCTTTTATCAAAATTATTTCTACTTATTGTGTTGTCTTTGCTGGCACTTCGATTTACATTATTATTATTATTATTATTAATATTACTACTATTGCTATTACTACGAAAACCGGTATCAGCACTTACGTTGCTGCCGTATTTATTATTAGCCTTGTCGTTTGCTTGAGATTCCGAATGCAACATTAAAAAACTATTTCGAATATTGTAATTGGGATTTTCCTTTAAAAAATTCAAATGATCGTTTATCAACATAGGAGGAGGATAATTATCGTTATATAGAGACCGACACAGGTTCGGGGACGCTCCCGTTTTATCACTCACATCGGCGTTCGGAGGCAAACCGCTGTATAGTATATCGTTTGCGTGAATAAGTTGTTCGCCGAATATAAAATGAGGAAGCGCGCACATGAAAGAGCTCACGGCGAACAATATCATTCCCCAAGCGATCCACTTGGGCCTGTGACCCTGGCCTCCGTAGTACGTCAGCAAAAGGCTCGATCCGATTTGACCGATTTCCGTCGCGCTCATTATTATCCCGGTTGTTTTACTTTGAATCTGGAATAGTTTTTCGATGGTCGTTATGACGCTGACGAAATACGTATAGTACATTCCCTGAAGAACCCACGTGATGCAAAAAGTGACCAAGAAAGCTTGTTTCGATGCGAAGACTTGCATCCATTTGGGTGAGAAAACGCCGAGACCGCATTTGAGATCGTCGTCGGACTCGTTGTCGTTTTGCTGGTCCTCATCGTCGCTTTCTTCGTTTTCGTTTGTACTGACATCGCTGGGAGGTAGATTAGACGGAAGTTGAGCATCCCCGCGACAAATGGACAAATCCAATTTCCCGTAGTTTTTGTCCTTTTCGTACCTTTTCAAATCGCCATTTGTTTCGTCCATTTTACACGTGATCCCGTTGTTTTCATCTTCTCGTTCCATTTCCATTGAATTTTTTTTCCCTTCATAATCGCCCGATTTCGATTTGGTCGTCGAATTTGAATCCTGAGAGTTTATCCACTGAGTTTGGCTATTGCCCTCTACATGATTTATGGTCATGACTGCGTCGAATCGACGAAAGTATTTTTATAAAGAGAAAGATTCAAGGAAGAATCAGAGAGTGAGTATCTGCAAGTAGAAAAACAAAAAAAATTGTACAATTTCAATTTCAATAAAATACAATTAATTATACGTAAACCTTTTGAACGAAGAGTTAAGAAAAACCGTCATAAAATAAAATGGGGGGAAAAAAATTATTATTATTATTATTATTATTTTTTGTTTTTAAAACATCTTCTGATCAAAAAAAAAAAAAAAAAACAAAACGACTGGTTCGTCGAGAACGCCTCAGAAAAACTGCATGAGACGATATTTAATTATACCGGTTCTAGTAAAAAAATTTTTACTCGTTATTACATTTAACTATTAATTATACGAATAAACATATCAAGCCAGACCTTATATTAAATATTCATCGCTCCAAGATGAGTCAGTCAGTCAATCACTCATTCACTGACTCACACAAAGAGCATCATTTGAAAATTACAAACGAAAGCCAACCCAACAGATAATTCCTGAAGGGTTGGACACGTGGAATGAATCCGTGCACACAACTACTCACTCGTCTTAAGAGTGAAAATAATAATAATAACTTTTTTCCATAGAAAACCTTATTGATCTGTCACGATATCAAACCGGCAAGAGGGGGGGGTCTCTCTCTCTCTCTCTCTCTCTCTCTCTCTATGTTTTGGGACACCTAAAAACTTGTTCATGGGTCTGTCTGTAACGCATTCTCCAAAGTATCATGACGTCACGATCATCATAAGGATTTTTTATTTAAACCGTAACCAACCGATAAAAATTACATTTAAAAAAAAAAAAAAAAAATTTATACGAAAGCTTTTTTCCGCCATTTTAATAATTTGTTTGAGTGTGACGACGTATTAAAAAAAAGCAAAATTTATTATTATACTTGAACTGTGATTCGAAAAAAAAAAAAAAAAAAAAAAGAGAACACCAATAAAAGCTTTCGACCAATAGAAGAACAATTAATTAATTTAACATTCAGAAAACCGTGATTAAAAATCATTTAAATTTTTTTTAATGGACTGACGGGATCGTGATGACGTTCAAATACTACACCGAAAAAAACAACAGTAATAATAATAATAATAATAACAACAGTGGAATTCTAACACGACAGAGATAACTCTCACAGCATCGGAAAAAAAAAATGCTTTGTACGTTTGTTTTTGGTATGAAATGATAACAGGCAGGCACGACATATACCCCCAGACCAGGTTTACCAGGTTTACCCTTGATAAAATGCAATTTACAATTACATATCATCACGTGTGTACCTCTCTCGTTGCAGGTACAATTGAAAATATCGAATTGGTTAAAGGAGAGAGAGACATAAGCGATCGAAAGCAGCACAAAAGAATTTTTTTTGAAACGATTAGGATTTAAGTAGAACCTACATCGAAGCACGTTTCCAAACTCCAGAATCTTTTTCTTAGGAATCTATCGATCGAAAAGAAAACCTGAAATGAATGTTTTCACCATTGACTACTACTACTACTACTACTACTACTACTACTACTACAAAAGGGTAATCGTGCATCGAGAAAAAAAAAAACAGTATATAGTATAATGATAGTAATGTTTTATAATGATAATAATATCGTTATAAACTTTTAATGGTTTTTTTTTTTTTTTTTTTTTCGTAACGTGAATTACAACTCGACACAACACTAGTAACTCAAAGCAATTTTATCTTACGCCTTTTTTGCCCCTCCCCTTACCCTCCTCCTCCTTTTTTTTTCCTTCTTCAACTTTTCACTGTAATTACTCTTTACAAAAAAAAATATAAAAATTCATCCGACTAAATATTAGAAGGTATTAAACTTAACTTCCTTATATAATTACGTAAAATATGCTATTTTAAAAAAAAGAGAGAGAGAGAGAGGGGGGTGGGAGAGGGAGAGAAACAAAGATATGGAAATTCGACAAAAGAAAATTTTTCTTTTTCTTTTTTTTTTGAATACAATTTTCCGTTACTTTTATTATTGAACGAACGATTGAAAGGCAACAAAAAAAAAAAAACACTTGTCGTGTCAACAGCAACAACAACAATAGCCATTGAACTCAATCCTGTTTCCCCCGACTCCCCCCGATTCCGCTCCGCCGCCCCCCTCTCCCCGCTCAAAATCATTTCCAGTTTTTTATTTATTTTCAATTTAAATAAACGAATAAAGAGTAAATACATATATTGCGATTTTATCCGTTAAGAACCCTTAAAATTTCACCCTAAGTAATACGTATGTACATAAGTACACGTAATAATAATAATAATAATAATAATAATAATAATAATAATAATAATAATAATAATAATAATAATAATAATAATAATAATAATTGAATCGTAACCCGATCGAAAAGTAAG